CAATTTTAGTTTCTTATTCATCCTAAATGTCACTTTGACTTCCACAGTGATTAAATAACGCTTCACTTGGTGAGATATTGATTTTCCCCACACATAATGTGGTTATAATCAGGTGTCATGTTATGGAAGTAGAGTCATTTGAGAATGACGAAATTGCAAGAATGCTAAATGAGTGGTTTGTTAGCATCAAGGTAAATTTTGTTGTTATCCTTATTCCACAATCATACTTTCTTTGGTCCTCTTTAGCTAGATTTAGAAATCACCTTTATTTTAATTTCATAATCACCTACTGGAAGCTATCAATTACTATTACTATCTGATTTCAAATTTAACAGGTGGATCGCGAGGAGCGGCCAGATGTTGACAAGGTAAATTAATAAAGCTACTGTTATGATGATTATTGTCCTTATGCCTAATTTACCGTCGAAAAAATCAAAAGGGATTAAAATTTTACTTGATTTTTCATATTCTAATACTCAGAATGATTTTTTTTATGTTATATAATGTTGATTATGTTAGAAAGTAGTACTAATTTGTTATTGGGATAATCTGTTGCATAATATTTATGTCTCCCTAAAAACATGAAGGATATAAGTTTTTGAATGTTTTCCTTGTTAGAAAAAGTCTCTTCGTTGCCTAAGAACATGAGGGATATTGTCAGGATCCAACCTATAGGCTGGTAACAGGGAGGGAACAGATGGTAGGACGGATGTTTAAAATTTTATTCACTAAGATTACTAATAACAATCTATTTCTAACATACTTAAAGTGCCACTATTTCATAAAAAATATAACCATTGAAAATAAATACCTTTGTTACAACCCAACCTGAGTACTTAGAATATCAAGTTGGGAGCAACAATCGAATGATAATTTAGTTCTTTTCGGTAATAACTAAATAATCAAATTAATAGTATTCAAATCTTAGAAAAATTCAATAATAAATTAATTATCAATTTGAACAAATATAACATAATTCTTACCTATTTTTATTTGAACCTCTTCATTTGTACATGAAGCCTTCTAGATTAGTCATTTACACTATTGGAGATTTACTTGAAATTTTTAATTAACTAGGTTGAGTTTTCATCAACAAACTCGGTAGTAGATTACAATTTTATAATATAGCAATAATAAAGAAATATGCTTATGAGTAATCATGATTTATCTGTAACATTTCATATTAAAAATAAGCATAAGTATTGATAATCATCATTGTAGGTGAATATTCTTTAATATTTCTATTTCCAAATTTTAACTTTGAGTCATTTATTTTAAGAGAGTCGTATAAAATTCGTAGAAATAAAGATACAATTATTTTTATTTCCATTTATAACCTTTTTCAATTTTTTGTGTGCATGTATTTTGCCTGTGCATGTGTAAGTTAATGTTATGTGGGAAAAAAAGCTAGTGATATAAGAATTTTGTAAAAGATGTGCTTGGAGTATCAAAGAGAGAAATTACTAATAATAAAAATAGTTGGTGGTTGAATCAAAATGTGCAAAAAAGATAAAAAGTTAAAAAATTTGATATAAAAATTAATTTAGCTGTAAAAAATTGTGAAAATTAGATGATTTGTTATACAAATTGATTTAGGTGTAAAAAAGTTTGATAATTGGGAAAGATATAAAGTGGTCAATTAGGAGTTTAAGAAAGCAATATGCAATACAAAGATTTTAGTTTTTAATAATTTATATAATAGATTAGATACTAAGAAGAGTGAAAGATATATGTATAAGTTAGTTAAACAAAGATATAGGAATAGTAAGGATTTAGTTATAGTGAAGTGTATTAAGGATGAAAATAAAAAAATACTTTTATTAGAAGAGTATATTCAACAAAGGTGGATGAGATATTTTGCAAAACTTTTCAATGAAGATTGTGAGAGTGCGATTGACTTTAGTAATCTTAGCACCCTAAATGAACATAAAGATTTTTGTTTTTATGGGCGTATTAGTAAAATCAAAGTTAAAGAGGCTTTAAAGAAAGTGAAGTGTGGAAAAACTGTTGGACCTGATGATATTTCAATAGAGGTGTGGAAATGTTTGGGAGATGAAAGAATTTCTTTGCTTACTAAACTTTTAATATTATTTTGAAGACTACAAAGATGCCAGATGAGTGGAGAATGACTGTGTTGATTCCTATTTTTAAGAATAAAGGTGATGCAAAAGATTGTGCTAATTATAGTGGAATTAAGTTAATGTGTCATACTTTAAAACTATGGGAGAGAGTTATGGAGCATAGTTTGTGGCGTGATACTAATGTTTCTCAAATCAATTTGGATTCATGCTAGGTAGGTCTACTGTGGAAACTATACATTTATTGAGGTTTGATGAAGAAGTATAGAGAGAATAAGGAGGATATACATATGATTTTTATTGATTTAGAGAAAGCTTATGATAAAGTTCCATTAGTAGTGCTATAGATGTTAAACCGATATATGGAGTGTAATTTTAGTAGCAATAGACCTAGTGAGGGGATTGCGACTTTAGGTGATCAAGTCATTAATAAGAGTACACGTTTTAGATATCTTGGATCTATTGTTCAGATTGATGGTGAAATAGATGGGGGTATTATCAGCAGAATTCAAGTTAATTGGTTCAAGTGCCGGAATGCATCGGGCTTGTTGTGCGATAGAAAATTCCCCCTCAAACTTAAGGGAAAATTCTATAAGATGGTGGGGAGACCTGCAATGCTTTATGGTGTCGAATGTTGGCCATTAAAAGAGAAGCATAATACTAAGTTAAGTGTTGCAGATATGAGGATGCTTAGGTGGATGAGTGGCTTTACCCTTAGAGATCGGATACGAAATGAGCATATACATGAAAAGGCTGGAGTAGCTCCAGTGGAAGATAAGATTAGAGAGAGTCACCTTAGATGGTTTGGTCACATTAAACGGAGGCCTTCCAATGACCCGGTTAGGAAAGTTGAGGTATTAGATTTGACTTATGTTAAGAAAGGTAGAGGTAGACCTAAAAAGACTTTGTTAGAAAATATTAGAAATGATCTTTTTTTATTATATTTAAATGAGAATTTGACTTTTAACCGAACACAATGACGAAAAAGGATTCATGTAGTCGACCCCACGTAGTAGGACAAAGGCTTGATGTTGTTGTTGTTGTACATCTCTTATACTTAATTACACCTGAATGGTGATCCTTTTTAAAAATTTTCCATTTTTCTTTTTAATTCCAATAACCATAAATTTAAATTTAGTTGCGTAATGTAGTTCTATATTTAATAATTATTAGGTTAAAATTCTTGAATAAATAAAACTAATTTTCAAGAGATTATAATTGCTAAAAGTTGTCATTTAAATAAACCTCATATTTAAAATTATTTCAAATTAATTCAAAATATTAGAAATTATTATAATATAAATTGTCACCTATATAGATAAAAAGCAAAATCTCGCAGTTTCTTAATTATATTTCAGAATAATTTAACTTGCAAATTTCTTAAATAAATTTATAGGTTTAATATTTTAAATAATGTCTTCTTCCTACATAATCGAGAACCTTTTTGTATGAATAACCAACTTGCTTGAATTATTTGGAATTTCCTGCACTGCAATGATGGCTGAAATCATATCAGTAAATGACTTCTCATTAAAGGATTTGGAGTAGACTCTAGAGTTGCAGGACCCATGCCCTGAGAACCAAACCCCTGCCAATCGTTTGAGCGTATTAAGAACAATAAAGATCATGCAAGCTCTACTGCGACCCTTAATTTTGTTCAAGAGTCTAGCGTTTGTTTGATTTCACCTCTGAGATATTGTGCTATTTTTTCTTAGTTATATGTCAATTGAATTTGATGTTTTTGAAGTATTACAAATATCATTACTGATATGCAACATCAACATTGTAGTTAAGTTAAGATGGTTTTAAGGGATTGATTAAATAATCTGTGTTATTATATAAGCTTGATGCTAACAGCATTGCCCCCTGTTCCGACTATAGTGTCATCATGTTGAAACTCTTTTGCTACTTATCAAGCATAGAACTGGATACTTTGCATCAAAACGGGATTCCTTTGCATTGCTTGATTAGTTGTACACTTGTACTGATTCCCCTCAATCTGTCTATCCAGAACCTTTATTGTCCATGATTGTGTCTTGCAATTGTGTTTCTTGGTGTCTAGAATAAAAATTATGTAGAAGTTGAAACTGATACCAAATTTCAGCTTGCAGTTTTGCATGTGCTTATTCCTATTATTTTGGACGATATTACCGTCATTTTAATATAAACGTTGATTTTGCGTTTTTATATAATTTGGAAATTGTTATTCTCGCTCTGTAAAAGCTTTTTATATAAGAATGAAAATTCTATTTGTAAATGGACAATGCCATTCTGTAAGAGCAAGCAACATAGTTGCCTTACGTCATAGCACATGTAATTTTAGCTCTATTGTAGATTCAAATGTCTGATATTCTGTTAAGTGTAGTAACTACTATGAGAACCATACTTGTAGAGCTCTAATATTTAGTGGATTTATGCTACCAGGTGTATATGACATATGTTCAAGCACTCTATGGTGGCGGTGGTTGGCCATTGAGTGTCTTTCTTTCCCCAGATCTGAAGCCCTTGATGGGCGGCACCTACTTTCCCCCTGATGACAATTATGGGCGACCTGGATTCAAAACAGTTCTTAGGTGAGAATTAAATCTGTCTTCTTAAGAGTTGGCTGGTTTACCAAGTATCTTCCTTGCCACTTTGTTTTAGGAAGGTGAAGGAAGCATGGGAAAGTAAAAGAGAGGTACTAGAGCAGGGTGGAACACTTGCAATTGAGCAACTATCTAATGCCTTGTCTGCTGCTGCTAGTTCAAAAAGACTCACGGATCAAATTTCTCAAGATGTAGTAAAACTATGTTCTGAACAGGTTTCAAAAATCTTAGTCTGATTTTTAATAACTGATTTTTAAACCATGCGCAGAAAATTTTTGCCTTAGCAGAATATTTTATTTTTATTTTTACGAAGTTTAAGAAGCCATCTGACATTACTTGCAACTATGTTTTGGTTTGCTATGAGGTTGTGAACTGGTTTGCACCCTATATCTAATTACTTCAAAGAGACCAATGGCATATTTTTTTTGAGATAGCAATCTCTTTCTCATTATAAGCAAATTCAATCTCAATAAAGTATCTAGGGTGCTCTAAATCTTTTTTTGCCAGATAATATTATAAGTTGTGCCTTACTTTAATTATGCCTTCTTTATCACTCTAATAAGTAATATATCATCTACATAAATATCTAGCTTAATTGAGCTTATTGTTGTATGTTTGACAAAGATTAATTGATCAACAATACTTCTTCAAAGGCTAATTTTTGCAATATAGAATTTGTCAAATCAAGCCCTTGGACTTTGCTTGAGCCCATAAATGGCATTCTTCCTTACCAGGCATATGCGTTTCAACCCCCTAAGTAACACGCCCAGGAGGTTGCTCCATATAAACTGCCTAATTTATATCACCATAAAGGATGGCATATTAACACTCATTTGCAGCATGGTCCAACCTTGATTGATGGACATAGTAACCAAAATTTTGACAGAGTTGAGTCTGTCGGCTAAAGAGAAAGGATCAAAGTAATCTGACTTGAGGAAAGACAACAATTTGAGCTTTATACCAATCAATGGAGCCATTAGGACCAAACTTGATAGTCAAATCCATCAACAAATGATTAGCCTAACCTCAAAGGGAAGGTAACAAACTCCATATTTGTCGACAATGAAGAGCATCCATAAAAAAATCCATAGCTTATTTCTATAGAGGATGTTCAACGCTTTTAGATATTTCTTATGAATAGAGATAGCAGACAGACATGGCTATGGATTTTTTTAAGAAAGAGTGAATATGATGATAAGTAATTTTTCCCTTTTACCTTATTGTAGCGCAGTACTAAGGTGTAGATCTGAAATCATATTCTCAAAGGATTCCTCAGTAGAAGTAGATGGGATGATATCATGTGTTGCAGGCGAGCGATGTCCTAGTCTTTTGGTGTACACCTGTAGAGGAGTGCTATAGAACGAAGCAATAGGAAGAAGATGAAAAATGACGATGATTCAAAAGGGATGGTTGGAAAAAAAAATGCTATTTTCTCATGAAAAGTGACATCATCTGAGTGTACATATTTGGTAAGTGACTAGTATCATCTAAATCTTTTTGAGTTTGAAAGCACGCTTGGAATATATAACAACTGGCATGGTGAAAGAATTTATCATGTGGGCGAAAAATATGAACAAAGCAAAGACAATCAACACCCATTTAGTAATAGAAGAAATAGCGTGCTTGCAAGGCATCTTGGGCATAGTGTTAGTGGGGTTTGTAGTTTTACTGGCATGCGAGCAAACAAAGCAGCAGCGCACGATGTGTAACAGCAAGATACAAGTATGTGATAACAAGTGAGCATAGCATTGAACGCAAACAACACACCCATGCGGCAAGCAAGTGCATGGAGTGTGGCTTGCTTGTGGTGAGAGTGCAAGCAGGGGCTATAGAAGGCTTGCAGCACAAAGGTGTGGCAAACAACACATGCGGCATGCTCAAGGAAAATGGGAAATGAAATTGGACTTGGCCAGCATGCGAAAAGGCACCACTCCCCATGTGGGCTATCATATTCATTGAATAATATTATCTATTTATAGGCGTACATGATGAAATAGAATAGAAAGCAAGGGAGGAAACAAATGCATAGTTTTTGATGTGATACATACATGGGGAAACATGAATTACACTTTAGAGATTAATGAAAGCTTTTAACTTTGCAATTTAACACTGTTAGAGATTAAATGAAAGCTTTTAACTTTGGGCTATATATTAAACAATAAAATCTAACTTGCTCAAGATAGGATTCCAAGAAAATTCGTGAATTGATTAAGGCTCTAGGCATTCGATTACCTTCGAGGATTACAAGGTGCCTTGCAAAAGATATACCAAAAGAAAACTAAAATTATGCAAATAGCTACTCTAAAGAGCTAAGACAGACTATTTTAAAATTATGAGACCATATCACCCTGAGACGCGTGCACTTGTTTTGATAAGTGGGGCTAGGCGAAAGAGAATTTGTAAGTAGACTTAAGCGATGCCCTGAATATGGCAGTGATCTTGAGAGGACCTCGTCGCCGGGAAGGAACCGATGTTGGAGGAAGCCGGCTGGCTGTTCCGCGGATGGGTCCAATTGTATCCCTTCAAAGTTGCTCATCATACGACATCTCCGAGCGTAGGGAGGTGCGGTTCCAATAGATTCTTACCGACGGTTCAGTCGGGTCCCAAAACCCGACGTAGAAAGAACGGCGAGCGATGTTATAAATAATTGGGTTTTACTTTCGTAGACGTCGCAGCATAACTCCAGCTTGTCAATCTCCGGGATCCGCCATGCGATCTTGCCGGAAGAGAAGGAACAAATAAAATGGGGGAGGAAGGAAGGGGGGGTTGGAGGAGGATGGTGGATGGGTTGGGGCACTTGCTAGTTTTGAGTAAGAAAGACTGATTTTTATGATCAAAGGTGAAGCTGCAGTAGAAGAGAAAAGCTTCAGGAAACCAATAATTTCACTTTTCACTGTATTTGTAAATACAGGGGGAGACGTGGAGAAGAAGAATTGAAGAAAAAATTCAAAACAATTCCAAACGGAGGCGGTGCAGCAGTTTTGAGTTAAATCTGTAATAATTCACAAAAGGGATGGGGAAGGCTGGTGGACTAGAGAAGGATGCAGAGAGGACTTTAGCTTAAGTGGGACCACGTATTTGATGGCAAATTTTGAGTAATAATCCTGTAATTCAATTCAGAATTTATTACACAAAAGGAAACGTCCACGTTTTAATGATGGTAGATGATCAGGCAACGTCTTGAATTTCAAATAGACTTTAAACTCAATTAAACAATTAGCTAATTCTAGGAGTCCAATTAAGGAAGCTATGATTGCACCGACCTTCTCCCAAAAGAGCGTCGCAGTGTCGACACTACATCCCCGAGTGCTCCGATTCACGATCACTGTCCGACACTCCCCGACCGTGTCGGACAGCCGACAAACTTGTCTGATAGAAAAAATATTAAAGACTAATTGAATAACGCGTGTCTGACACAGTATTCTTTATAATTTATAATTTTTTTAAAATATGAATTCCTATGTTTGGGAGCATGTAAACTAATCAATTTCTTATTTTCTATTCACACACCAATTAACAGTCTGCATTTAATACATATTCTATCGATATTTACATTATTCATTTCTTTGGCAGTGAACGGTATTTCCATCTCCTCCGTCTATTTTTGTCACAATTAACAAATCTTTTCTCTTGTTAATCCAGAGTTGAAAAGAAGTTGAATTAATGATGAATGATATTGAAGGCCAAAAACAAACACTCAAAGCTAGACTAGAGTTGAAGCTTGATGGCTTGATGTTGTGTAAGTGATGTATTTAGCTTATATCTTTTGTGATTGTATTATATTTTTATATAATATTTTATATTATAAGTTAGAATAAGTTATCTCATGTCAATTCATTTATTATTGTGTTATGTCTTTTTAATGATGATATTACATTTAATGAATAGCACTATATAAAAAATCGTATTGCGGTAGTCCGGCTGCGTACCCGTGTGTCCTATATATTTAATAAAAAAAAGCCAGTGTCCTGTGTCCGTGTCGTGTGTGTCCGTAGTCGCCGTGTCCGTTGTCCGTGTCTAAATGGCATCATAGTAGGATAGTATCCAAAGGTTCATGAGGATGTATTTGAATTTCAAAAACCAAAATTTCTAAAGGGAGGCGGGATGATGCGGAGGAGCTTGGCGGGATGTCATGGCGTGGCGGGATGGCTGGCCGTTGTGCCGGTGCGTGAGGTGGCCTGGCGGCCACGCTGCTGGCTTCGCGGGCAGGCCTGCCTCAAGTGAGGCGACAAGCCTAGCGGCTATGGAGCAGGTGTCACAACAATACAAGAGAAAAAGAAAGTTGAAATGTTCTAGGGATTCCGAGCGTGAATTCCACCTTCACAAATGCTTCGAACCGTATCTCCAGCGACTGAATCGATCACAAGAAAAAGAAGAAGAAAATATGGTAAGAAAACAAGACGATCTAGAACTCACTAAAGAGATCTTAGCTTCTCCTCGAAACTCACTAAGAGATCGGAGAGAGTGAACTCACAAAGTAGATCATACAGTGGCAATTTCTTTTCAATTCATCAAAGCTAACTTATTACAGTAAGAATAGGATCTCATAATATAATAGGCCCTTCAAATGGAACAAGAAAGCAAAGACTAAAACTGCGCCTCGCTACAATATCTACAATAACGACCAAATACCCATAAGGGCAAAAACGAAAAAACAAAAAAATCAAATAAACTACTACATAAAATGATGAAAATAAAGATCATGATCGTGGTCGTCGATCTCCGGCATCTCCATGTGTCGCAATCTCTGACGATGTCCTCATCAGTTTTCCCAAATTATATACTCCTATACAGATTTCCTAACGGGCATCACATATAATAATAGGCATGCTTTAATGTAAAATTAATCAGATAAAATCGTGTTCTCGTTGTATTTATACTTCAACAATGGTTGTGAACATTTCTAACTAAATCCAACATGGCACAGGTCCACTCAGTTGGATATAAAAGCTTGGATTTTATCTGAGATCTAAATTTATTTTAAATCAAATGATTGTCTACAACAAAAAGCATTCTTCTTGATTCAGTAAACGTCTAGTCTTCTAGCATCTATGTAACCCTCATGAGTTTACTTTACCTTCTTGTGGAACACTTACAACAAAACCTTACCAATCTGCAAGCGTTTGAATATAAGTTGTTAAATGCATTTCTTTATTTGCTTGTTTGGTTAGGTTATTCTAGTCCGTTCTCATTGGCTTCTATCGACAAATTGTTTTTCTTTTTTTGGCTTCCTTTCATAATCTAAATATAA